GCGCGCCGGGGAGGCCGGGAGAGCGCCCTCGGCGGGAACGCGGGCTCAGCCCCTGCCTCCCACCCTCGGCCCGGCCAGGTGTCGGAGGATGAGCTGGTGTCCACGCTGAAACATCTGGTCTCCGAGAAGCTGAACATCCCCGTGCGCCAGCAGCGGCTGCTGTTCAAGGGCAAGGCCCTGGCAGGTAACCGGAGAGAGGAGACGCCCCAGGGGCCCCGCAGGAAGTCGGGGGACAGGATATCCAGGCCGAGCCCGGGCAGCGGTGAGGGTCTGGGCGCTGGCCACTTGAGGGGAGGTGGCTGAACCCTCCTCAGCCAGATGCGGCAGCACTCCGCCTGCTGGGGCTCCTTGAGGCCACCCCTGCCGCTGTGGGTAACAACTTAATCTCTCTTTGGCAGATGGGAAAAGACTCTCCGATTACAGCATTGGGCCCAATTCCAAGCTCAACCTAGTGGTCAAACCTCTGGAGAAGGTGTTACTGGAAGAAAGCGCTGCCCGGAGACTGGCCGAGACCCCACCCCCACCCCCACCTGCCTGGCAACTGATCTCCAAAGTCTTGGCCCGCCACTTCAGTGCTGCTGATGCCAGCAGAGTCCTGGATCAACTACAGAGGGTGAGAAGGGTAGCCTGGCCCATCCCCTTCTGCCCCTGCTGCTCCCACCCCTGACCTCTGTCACAGTGTACCGCCCGCTGGCACCCCCTGAATCCTCCTGACTTTCTCCCCTCAGGATTATGAGAGGTCCTTGAGTCGCCTGACCCTGGATGACATCGAACGCTTGGCTAGCCGCTTCCTGAACCCCGAAGTGACTGAAGCTATGGAGAAAGGGTTCTCCAAATAGGATTCTCTGAGTGTGGGGAGGAGCCCGCCAGGCTGCAAGCTGCATGTAGCATTAAATGTGTTCTCATGTTGCAATTTGGCTCATAATAGTAATAGCTGGCAAGTATCCCTCCCTGGCTCTTGCTAGGTGCCAGGCACCTCGCACAAAAGATGAGACAGCCGAGGCTCCTGGCAATGAAGTGATGGAGCCAGAACCTGAGTCCAGCCAGCTTCTAGAAGTGCCTCAGGGTGAGAAGGAGAAAGGGGCTGTTTGGAAGGGTTCCAAGGGATGGGCTTTGGCATTTTGTGTTTAGCCCACTGAGAATAAACCCTCGAGCGACTCCTTTCCAGGCCTGAAAGGAGAAGCAGCTGGCCCCTGCTGCCCAGTCCTGTCACCTGACCTCTGGCAGGTCCAGCATTGGTGGGAGGCCAAGTGGCAGCCAGCCCGGAGCCCCCTCAGCTGCTGCAGCAAGTGCACTCGACGCAAGATATGCAGGTTGGGGAATCGGGGATGAACGTCGCCCAGCTCTGCAGTATGACTTCAAGCAAGTCCCTGTGCCACGTTGGTCCCCAGCTGTTGACTCTGCACAATGAGGGCCAGTCCTTAAACCTCAGTCAATTTCCTTCATCCTTACCCCAGCCCTGGGGTGAGGAGTTGGCAGTGATCCTCCCTCTCATTTTCCATAAACAAACTAAGACCAAAAGCCAAGCGATGGCCAAATGTGGCCCAGAGATGGGGTGTCCGAGCCTTTTGTGTCACAGCTCTTATGTGGGCACCCCCTCCCCCGCTTGTATCCTCCTGGACACGGGCAGTTCTCGCCCCTTAGGAATTACAGATCACTGGCTTGAGGTCACTCAACGAGGCAGTGCAAGAGCTAGGCCTCAGCCAGGCCCCTGTACCCTGCGCTCACCCATAGCGTGGAAGGGATCCTTCCCCTGCCACGTGTGTACAAGGGCTTTCACTTTGCACACCCCTCACTGCCTGAGACGAATCCTCGGGTGCCAGGGACGGGGAAGAAGCATGGGCTAGTGGCACTGGACCTCCCACCCTCCCTGGTGTGTGGGCACTAGAGGTCATCTACGAGCCTCCTTCTTAAAGGAGGGCATCCGGGGTGGTTAAGGCTGGAAGGAAGCTGCCCTCCAGCCTGGGCCTCTTGGGGCAAACGCTGGGTCCCCGGGCTGGGAAGATGAACAGACGTCTGATGGGCAAAGGCTTTGAGGAGCAGACAGAAGCCCCTGACCCCAGTTGAGAGCTGGGAATAGCAAACAGGGCCCACTTAGGAGCCCGTGTGGTCTGGCAGCTCATGTGACAGACTTAGCAATGCTCTCATTTCTTTTGAGTCAGGAACTTGATGTTGAAATTTTAAATCGCACTCAAGGTGAATGTGAGACTTGGACTTTTATCCAAAAGGAACTATATTAGCTAGGCTGCTTTTGGTTTCCAATAATTGATTTAACCGTAAAGGAAATTGATTTAAACAATAAAGGAAACTTATTGGTTTACGAAACTGAGAAGTCCAGGGGTATTGGCAGCAGATGAACAATTTCAGCAAATGCCCAGTTTCTTCCTACCTCCCCTCTGCATTCTGCAGTGTCTGCTTCATCCCAGGCCGCTGCCTCAAGATCCAAATATGGCTGCCCTGAAGCTTCCACTGAATCCCTCGTTCACAGCCAGCAAGGTGCACCTTCTCGCCCTATAGTGTAGCTTATTTCTCAGATGCCCCCAACAAATAAACGCTGTCCTTTCATTGGTCAGAACTGGGTTGTGCCACCAATCATTTTGGCTGGGCATGAGGTGGACAGTGGGAGGCCAGCCCCCTGGACACCCATGGGCTGTGGGAGGGAGAGAGGGTTCAACAACAGCCAGGTCCTCAGGAATGGCTGGTCCACTGTAGGGGAGTGACACACGCAGATGCAAGTTTCAGACAGACCCTAGAGATGGTCATTGAGTCCCTTGTGCCAGCACCTCTCGGCTCGGAAGTGACAGAGCCATCTGGTGGTTAGGAGCCATTCACTGGGCAGTTGGACACAGGGACAGGAGCTCGGCGGGGCTGGACATGGAGACTGGAGTGGAGTCTTCAGGGTGTGTGGTGGGAGCCTTGACGGAAGAGCTGACTGGCACCCAGGCCCGGTCCGATTCCAAAGCCCTGTGCAGCCTTCGACGATGACGTTCAGGAGTTACCTGTGGACAGGGTGTCCTAGAAGCTGTGAGGACGGATGAGATGGCTTCCCCGAGAGTGTGGCATGAAAAAAGGAGAGGACTGGACCTTGAGGAACTTTACCAACTGGTAAAGGCCGAGGAGCATGCTCAGACACAAGGCCACAGGGAGAGCTCAGTGTCAGAAGCCAGGAACGCCCCTCCAGAAAGGGGGAGTTGTCCAGTGCTGCCAAGAGGCAAAGTTAGGGCAGGACAGAGCCACCTCTGGCATTAGTAACAAGAAGGTCATCCGCAATGTTGAGGGGCAAGAAGCAGTTGCAGGATGGGGAGGGGAGGAGTCAGTGATGGTGACTGACTGGGGACCCCTCATTCCAGAAGCTTGTCTGTGCAGGAGTATGTAGCTGTGGCGGGGCAGGGATGGGCAGGTCGGAGGCTGGCAAACAAGAGAGGGAGGAAATGCTGCAGGGATGAGAGATGGGAGGCCCTGGTGCCGGGGAGGCTCTGGGTCCTGGTCTCTGCTGTCATGAGAGGAGACTGAGGACTCCATGAGAAGATGGAGTGGCTGCAGACTGCACCACACCTTTGCCCCTAGAATCTGGGGGGTGGCCCCGTGTACACTTGCAGGCCCCAAATGCTGAGATCCTTCAACAGGGGTCAGAATGTTTACTGCAGGCATGGTGCTCCTCTGATCCAAGTGTCCACCTGGGTTGTGGGTGCTGACCCACCGCTACCCCTTGTCCCCTACCCACTATGGTGCCCTGAGACCTACAGCCTGCCCCTAGGCGAGGGGCCTCAGGACAGTCCCTGAGCCCCAGGGACGTGGTGCAGCTTGCAGGCCCTGTTGTGATCGCAATGATACTGGGAGACAGCAGAATGAGGGAAGGGCCCAGTTGAAGTGGCCTCTCAGACAGAAATGGTCTGGCACCTGGAATGAGATGCTTGTGGTGCCGTTTTGCAAGGGCACATGGGAGGAGGAGCAGACTCAGAGGAGAGCAGCATTTGCTTTGGGGTGGGGCTCATTGACTTGGAGGTGCCCAGGCGACAGATTAGCTGTGCCCACAATTTGCTGGCGCCTTACAGGCCTGGCCAGCTCCAATAGGTCTGACAAGGCTGCTGCTTAGCCAGGCCAGGCGCTCCCAGGAGCAGATGCGGCAGCTGTGGCTGGCCTCAGACCTCCAGGCCCTGAAAAGCCTGTGGGAGAGACAATGGCCTCTTTTCACCAAGTGGAGCAGAGCGGCCTCCGTGGGCACCTGGGGACTTGCCCCTTCCACAAGCCTCTGGCATTCCTCATTTCCCGCCCTCTTCTGCCCTCACTCTCCTGCTTTTTCTTTCACTTCACTGCTCACTCCTTCTCTGGCTCCTTTGCTGGTTCTTTCCTCCCACACACTCCACCTCTTAATGTTGGGGGGTTCCAGGGCTTTGTCCCCAGACCCCTTTTCTTCTCTCTATTATTCCCCAGGGGAGCTTGTCCACCTTCATTTCCATTTCTTTTTTTTTCGCTTGAGGAAGATTGTCCCTGAGCTAACATCTGTGCCCATCTTCCTCTATTTTGTATGTGGGACGCTGCCACAGCACGGCTTGATGAGCCGTGCATGGGTCTGTGTGTGGAATTCGAACCTGCGAACCCTGGGCCACCAAAGTGGAGCACCCAAAGTTAACTACTATGCCACTGGGCCACCCTTCATTTCCATTTCTATGCTTCACTCCCATGTCTGTGGCTTATCCAGGCCCTTCTCCTGAGCTCCAGGCCACATCTCCAGGGTGGGACTCCAAGACAGCTCTTGGCTCTCCTGCAAACACCTCACTCATTCCTTCAGCACACACTCACTGAGTGCCTGCCATGTCCCAAATGCTGGCAACACTGAGACTGAAAGACACAGTCCCTTCCCTCTTAGCACCCATGGCCAGTGCTGGGCAGCCCCTCAGCACCCACATTTTCTCCACGACCTGGCTCAATGAATGGCAATACCACTCAGCCAGGCTTTTAATGACAGGAAGTGGGAGGCCACCTTTGCCTCTCCCAACTCTCCCTTCTCCATCGGCAATCTGTCAACAATATTTTTAGAAGAGTCCAGAGCAGTTACCTTGTAGAATGTTCTAGAGTCTGGATTTGCCTGATTCCTTCCTTGTTAGATTCAGCTTAAGCACTTTGACAAGTTGCTTTCCTTCCCCCTCTCCCTCAACAGCATCAGCAGGCACTCGGGGTCAGGTGGTCCCACTGTAGGGGAGGCTCGGTTTGTTTTGATCACGTGGTCAAGGTGGTGGCTGCCAGGTCTCCCCGTTGCAAAATTGCATGTTCTCTTCTTAATGCACAAGTATTCTGGGGTAATACCTTGAGACCCTGTCCATATCTTGTGGGCAACAATCCTTATCTAATGGTTTCACCAACCAAGGATGAGCCTGACCAGAAGGAATTGCATTGGGGGCTGCAAAACGGTGGTTTTCTGATCCTTTTTTTTTTCCTGAGGAAGATTTGTCCTGAGCTAACATCTGTTGCCAATCTTCCTCTATTTTGTATGTGGATCGCTGCCACAGTATGGCTGCGGATGAGTGGTGTAGGTCCACGCCCAGGAACTGAACCTGGGCAGCTGAAACAGAGCATGCTGAATTTAACCTCTAGGCCATGGGGCTGGCCCCTCTGATGCTTTCCTTCTTTCTACAATTGTTAGTTGGCATTTCTCTATGAAGAGCTTTCCTTTTTCCCTGCTCTCTTTTCTCAATTATCATGGTGGATGCATCGTTTTTTTTTATTCAACAACTTAGAATCCAAGAGTGTCATTTTGGGGTCATTTTTATTGGTCTACTGCATTCATGCAGTACTGTGCATAAATCATATCACTGTACAGTGCAATGGACCTTTAAAGTGAACACCCTATGTATCTATCCCCTCCAGACTGAAATAGAGAATACCACCAGCACTCCAGCACCTTCCCTGGTGCCCCCTCCCAGTCATGCTCCTCTCCAAAATGGTTCATATTCTTTTAGATGCTCAAGTTGTTCTAGCTTTGCTTCTCTCGGGTTAGCTCCTGAGTCCCTTTGACATGCCTCATGCTTCTGTTGTTCAAGCACTTCCTGACTTTCTGGCACTACAAGGTGCTCCAGGCTCAGCTTGTGTATTTCTTACCCCAGCCCTAGAATCCACCATTTCTTTTTTGTTTTTTTTTCCCCCCAAAGCCCCAGTAGATAGTTGTATGTCATAGTTGCACATCCTTCTAGTTGCTGTATGTGGGACGCAGCCTCA